CTTCTTTGGAGCCATGCTAACAAGCACACCAAAAACCTTCGCAAAACCCCGCAAAACACACCACAAGCCTCACCGAACATCTCCTTGCTACCACGACCTCTCCCACAGGAAGCCGCGACTGCGTGGCAGCAGGGAAAATGGCGGCGGATCCGGTTCGTTAGTAGAGGCGTTCATAACCCGAGGTAAAATTTTCCTGCCGAAACTGGTCGTAACCCGAAATGTTCGTTAGTAGAGGCGTTCGTATCCCGAGGTACCACTGTACTGGCATGTTATATGTTTTTAAAAAGTTATGGAGTTTTGCTCATTTTCCTTCCTTATGATTTTTTTTTTAATTTTCATCATTTTGTTAATAAAATGTCTCTGTATTTATGTGTATATAACGTATATATACATAAACACAGAAAGACACATACACACATATATAAATGCTATATTAGGATTTTTAAAGGCTAATTACACGGTACAAAGGCTAACATAGATCAGTGCAGTTGCTTGTGACATGCAGAGGTGGGATTATTGAATTAGTACCTCAAGGCCTAATATACAGAGTAAGGGTAGACATCTTCTTACGTAAAATGTAAGCAGTAAACTAGTTTAAAGATCATTGTTTGCATGCATTTTCTTGCCTGTCTTTTCAGTAAAGCAGGCAAGTAAAGGCAGTAAAGCAATTAATTGCTCAGCTGATTAATATTTATACTTGGCAGATTAATATGGTGGATATCTACTATATGACAAAAGCACACAAGCATTGATCATAGGTTGGACCCTATCAAAAGCAGTGTACAAATGTTAATGTTAGTCATCATGGATGAAGTGTCAACTGAGATACATGCATGTGTAGATCAACTTTTAGTTTTCTCCTAACATGTGTAGACAGACATAAACAATATTTTGAACCTACTGTGTTTTTATTTCTTCCGTTGGGTTTTTTGGTTTTTTTGAAGATACAAAACTGGCTTCATGTTATCTACGCCAGCCATTATTGCACAGGTTTCTGAGATTTATATACAGATAGATTTTCCACAATAGTCTTACAGGACTAACCTCCTTTCCTTGGCAACTATTACACAAACATTTATACTGATCTCATAAGTATAACATTTGAGGAATAACTATTGCTATTGGGCAAGGAAACTCTACAAAGCCATAATTTTCAGGCTTATCCCATTTGTAATGGGTAAATGAAACTCTCACAAGTCCACTGAAAGAGTTCAGCTCTCATCATTTCAGCTTCATAACATTTATACCAATTTCTGCTCATGTTTATCTTAAATCCATCAACAAACTTGTAAATTTCCCACAGTAGGTTGAATAGCTGCTCACAAATCATACAGAGGGACTCTTGCAAGAGAAAATCCCAGTATAAGCTAGGTTATTTATAATTCATACATTTTATTTATTGATACACTCTCCAGTCTGACATATTTGGACTACATGGAAGAGAATTCTGGAGGCTGCAACCCTCACATTCTCTATAATATCTAATATTAGCAAAATAAATGTTAAAAAGAAATTTGGTTGCTTGTTGAATGAAGGATAAAAACATGAAACAGGTGACATTTATACATGTAGTCTTCCTTTCTAATGACTGCTTATCAGTTTCAGAGATAAAGAGCACAAAGACATACAATGGGCCACCAAGTTCAATTACTTACTTGAAATAAATCTTGCACCTCTCCCCAAGCAGATGGTTTCACTGACAAAATAAATGTTCAAGCCTGTTGATTACAATAAAAGAGATTCAACGTGAGATTTAACAAAAGTTAACCTAAGCATAGCTATCGTTAAACAAATCCCACAGATGTAACTGAGCTTTACAAATGCTTACCTTTTCCAGGAGAATATCATAAATATTTTGAAATGATCAACATGAATAACTTTAGACTTTTCTAGATCACACTAATTTTTAAGGCCTTTTCTTTTTAGGAGCCTGCCTTGTTTCTAAATTCCCACATTTTGTTTGCAAGCTTCGAAAAATATAGTGTAAATCTAACATAATAACATAGCTTGTATTCTCCAGCTGTCTTCTAAATTGTCATTATCGCCATAATTTTTTAAATGTGGACTTCATAACTGATTTCAGTATTTCAAACAAAATCTGCTGTCTTTGATCTTTCTCCTAATACAATCAGTGAACCTTACACAATCTATAAGATAATCAGATCTTTTGTAAATTCACAAATGTATAACTCTTTTTAAGACTGTTTTATAAAACTTGTCAGTTCAGATTTCCCACGTGAGGTGATTTCAAATAAGCCAGTGGATGGAGCACTAAGGAGACAGGAGAGGACTGTAGAAGGATGAAAGGGTTGCATTTATCAGGTTGCATTCAATTTTACCTCCCCTTCTCTTTCAGATCTACCTTCTGCTGCGATATAGAAGGTATTGATATAATTTTATAAAGACAAAGAAAGGTGAGCTTTTCCCATAAGCCAGTCTGTCATAAGCTGTTTATTTGAAAAATTAAAACTTATTAAATACACACATACTTTTCCAGTCACAGATTTTAAGGGCACAGAGAGGCACCTTCAGGACAAGAGGCAATATCTTGTAATTGTAAGATGTTATGCTTTTTTAAAGCTGTTAGATTTACATTCTGAGCATTTAGGGTTACTGCTTCTAAACACATTTATGCATTTTATTATAATGGTTTATATTACAAATCTCTCTAGAAACTGCAGACGTCTATTTCTTAACCTATATGTGATTTATCAAAATTATTAGAAAAAGGACATGATCTTGATACTAAGCGTCCCTTAAATGAGAATATCATTTAGGTATTTTTGATCAACTATTTGTTTTCTGGAAAACCTGACGTAAGAAGCACTAAAATATTGAATCTCTTTTGTTTCAAGCCTGCTCGAAATGGTTGGCTGTGTTCTGCTGCAACAAAACTTGAAACACCTTGAGTGTTCCGAGTTCTAACAAAATAGGGCTTCAAAAATAATTCAGAAGTTCTTTAGACTGAATGTGGGTTCAGCACCTCTCTGCTATTCGATAAAGAAGACTGACTTTTTCTAGGCTTCTGTGCAAGCCTGAAAAAGAAGGATGGTCTTTCAAGAACTGCATTATCAAGTGGTTTCTTTAATAGCAGAGAGATGCTGAATTTGCACATTTAGGAGGTGTGAAGTACTTCTTTTGAATCATTTTTGAACTGTGCACTTAACATTTTGGGAGTTCCAGTCATGAGAAACAATGGGAACATGGGACCGATCACTGCTCCCTCATTTTTCACCCAAGGCTGCAGTCTTGGGTGGTAATCTATGTTGAGTGCTACCTACCACTTAAAATGCAGAAAATGTGACATAGGGTATGATTTTTAAATAATTTTGAAAACATTAAAATAAATCCCCATAGCAAATAATTGAGGTATCGCTTTGTTCTTAGCCACTGAAAAACAGTTTGTTTGTTTTTAAATTAGAGTATGTTATCTAAAAAAAAAAAAAACACCTTTCTCGGCAAAGAGGACAGAGATCTTTTCAATTTTTCCAAATAAGCCCCTGGGGCACTTGCCTAACAGGCTGTAGCATATCAGACAAAGAGGACTAATCTCTTCAACGTTCTTTTCAATTAGCACATCTCTCAGCTTGAAGATACAGAAGCCAGACAGCCACAAATATTCTTTCTGTTTTCTGTAGGCATTACCATCCTCCCTTTTTCAAGAGATCAGACAATACATATGGCATATTTTGGGGGGGGGTTTATCCTTGCAAGAAGAAAGACAGTAAAAGCAACCATGTTGTTTTTTGGTAATGCTTGCTGGTTGGCTGCTGGCATGGGGGAAAAGGCTTTTAGTGCTTTTTAACTGCAGGAATAATATTACAACCAGATCTGAGAACATGAAGAGTGCAGGCACATACCAAATCTTGACAAGCCAGCCTAAGCAATCTTAATCTTTCTCTTTTTAAATGTATCTTGAGGGTCCTTTGCATGATTGATTGACTGATTCTTCTTACAGTTTGTTATTTTCAGAATCCAACTCCAAATCAATAATTTAAAGACATGTTCCTTCTCTTGCTTTTCTCAGTGTCCATCTTTCACAGCCTCTTATTATCACTAGAAAGACCATTGCTTAACTGTTCCAGTCTTTGCTGTTACAGAAATAACCTTATCCTCCATAATCTTATCTAAGTTTTTTGTTGCATTCCTCCTTAACCTCCTATTTGCATCTTCGGTGCATGTACATATTTGTCTGTACATATTTGTCTATTATTAAGCTCCAACTTCTCTTTTTCTTTAATCTCATTTGCTCTATCAGATCGTGATTACTCTTGAGAGCATTCCTACTTGACCTATATTTTCCTGTGATTTCTCTTGAAAGAGCTCTCATTTCCCTTTTCTGGTTGTATTCCTCTGTTTATTGACATTCTTGATTTACATATCTTTTCTTGTTCTTTATCCCTTGAAGTTAAAAGTCTGTATTCGGTCATTGTGCGTGCCTCTATCTCACTGCCCAAGCCTTTCATCCTCTCTCTGGTTATCATGATAGCTTGTTGTGAAAGCCACTTGGATTCTTTTCCTCATTTAAACGTTGGGAATATTTTCTTCTGACTTGGTTTTCACAATACAGTTCCTGCTTGTAGGCAATTGGCTTTGTTCAGTCCTGCAAAGCTTCATCTATCCTCAACCCCATGGTAGATTACTCTTAGCTTCAGCTTATTTGTCTTCGTTATGCTATTAATATTTTAAAATGAGTTCTTTATGTTTGGTTAATGGCAACAATCTAAGCAAGAATTTTGAAGAATAAACTTTTATTGCAATGATCTAGGACAGCGTTCTCAAACTATGGGTTGGTTCCCTCAGGGGTCCATCAGAAATTTAGAGGGAGGTCTTGGTTTTCTTAAATGACCAGAAGCAGAGTGGGTGCTGTTTGCTTCTGGTTCTGTCTGCGCAAGTTTCAGTGGACAGTTGCAGTACTGAAGTTCTGTGATACCTAGATTAAAAATAATTACAGTATTCAAAGTAAGCGGTGTACATATTTATTGACCAGCCTGAACTCCAGTGAAATCATTAGATTTATTCAGTGGAATCACACAAAATAATAATAATAATAATAATAATAGTAGTAGTAGTAGTAGTAGTAGTAGTAGTAGTAATT